ACTTACATCATGAGTTCCAAAATACGTCAAGTATCCAATCCTTACATCAAATTCTCAAAATATACAATAATCCAGAGTCTAGCCAAGCACATTGAAAACCCTAATACAAAAGTACATTCAAAAGGGGTTTCTCCGAGGTCCATTCCAAATCCTTTTCTGTGAAGGAAAACAAATCTACAGGGTGAGCAAAACGCTCGTGAGGCCAAGAACACACATGCAGACACGTTGTTCAAATAACAATCCCTATTTACAAGTAGAGTAATAATATTGCAATAATTAACAATTCGAGCGAGAAAAGTAAACAGAAACAATTCAAGGATATAGGAGCTCTCAGGAGTTATTTTTCACTTGTACGATCACGAACCTCCATTAGTTGACACTCCGTCAACCGGGTAGGTTCAGTCCGTAGAACTTCACTTATCATGTCCCCTTTCACCTTACATACCCCTGTATCGGGTCCGCCTGTTGTTTGTTTGAGGCGATACTGCTCGAGTATGCCAAGTAAGACCTCTCAATAGGTCAAACTTATATTTTCTCATGGTTCACCAAGGAGCCTGACCAAACACATGCCGGCTCGAGTCCAAGGTTAGCCAGTGAGATTTGGGCGTCCTCCATGTTCATTTGTGAGTCGAGGAGATTCACTCCAGCGACGTATGCAGCCATAGCATACCATTTCATTTCATTCAATCATTTAATATCATTCAATCATTCATTTCATTAAATACATTTCATTCCATTCATTTCAAATGAGAACAAGTGCGGTAAAGTACACACTCGACTTTATTTTCAAAATCTCCAATCATTTATAACAGTTAAGCATGTATCAAGTACTCATACACTTGACACTCACCGAGTGATTCAAGTAGCAAGTACAATCGATTGATTAGGCGTCTCCCGTGATATCCTCTTGGGGGTCCTCTTGAGTGCCTGAGCAATTAATAATGAACTATCACTTATAAACCCCAATTATCAAGGAAGATTGTACACTTGTACAATTTAAGAAAATTTCACGAAAATGAGCCTTAATTACTCATAAATCGAGGCTCAAAAAAAGGGGTTTTAAAACACAAAAGTAAAATATGATTTTTTTTCATCTTTGAAATCAAGTATACAACGGTCTAACAATACCAAAGGAGATAGAGAGTTCAAAACCCTCAATTTCCTTTAAGTTTGGAAATTTCAGATTTGTCGAACAATCTTTGAAAAATCGTATCTCACTCTCTACAAGTCCAAAATTGGAAAAATTGGTACCGTTGGAAACTTCTTCCAACGTACTAAAAGTTCTTAGAAGATACTTTTCCATGATTCCAAATGAAAGATATTCAAAATTTAGCTCAAAGTGGCTGTTTTGGAATGCCAAGACAGATTTGAGTTGATTTTCGGCAAAGTTTGGAAATTCAGCAAAATTCACACAATGCGAACTAGCCTCTAAAATTTGGAAGTCAATTAGAGTTACAATCAAAATTTTCAACACAATAAGTGGAACAAGAATTGGAGTTTTGGGCACCAAGATATGGTAGCTCAAAGTTGCTGCAAAAGTGAAACTGTTAAGCAAATTTCAGGTTTAAATCACGTACTTCGGGACTTTGTTTGAGCTTCTAAATGGACTCGGAATGGCACCAAATTTGGTATGATTATACTACCATATAAGGGCTATTCCTCTGTCAAATTTCATGGAAAAATATGTATGGGAAGTCAGTTAACAAAATCATTAAATCTCCAAGAACTTCCAAGACAAAACTGCCTTGTGGTTCCGTTTTCCGTTTTCAAAACGTTTGGCCAACAAAATGTCTCAAACACGGTCCATTTGTGTAGACAATGTCTAAGCAACATCCAAGATACATTTGGTAGGTGATCAACATCAAGAATTTCAAAACAACAAGTCCCAATCAAGATTTAAGCATTTACTAGTCAAAAAGAGGGTTTTCAACCACTGAATCAGTTTCGAACTTCGGCCACAACTCACTCAATCAACTTGGAATTGAGCATGGTTGGTGGTGTTAGAAACTACATTCATAAGGTTAAATGTTTATAGAAGGAATCGTTTTAAAAATCTATCCACAACTAGCCCATATTCGAGCATCAAGTTGCAGCTCATGACCTGCACTCCAGTGGATCAGCGAAACAGGACAGTCATGTTCAAATGATTGGTATGATTCACTCAGGTGGAATCTGGGCATGCATTTTATACCATTGGAAAACTGGAAGTGTCTAGTTTCTAATGCTACTAACGGCACTTGATTTCGACATCGGAGTAAAAAGTTATGACCGAAACAAAAATACTGCCAGAGTAACACGGGACTCATTTCCAACTTTGACAAATTTTCGAAAACTCAACATTTAATCATCCAAATCACGTAATTTTTTGTGGAAACCTTCCACACAACCCACACAACATGTATACATCATAAATAAGTCAATTGAACCACAAAAAAATGCACTAAGGCTCACGGCAATAACAAGGGCAGATTTGTCACTTTTGCTCAACTCTCTTCTTTTGAGTTTTTCTTCACAACCTAACGTATTTCCACTAGATTAAGCATTAATCCAACATAAATAGCATCATATATCATCAAATCAATCCACCAAGCCATTGTAGGCTTTCATAGATCCCACACACCAAATTTTCAACATAAATAAAGCTACCCACATGAATATATGAGTTTATAAGTGCAATATAACTTGCATAAGTCAAGATTTGTGAGGTTGATCATTACTTACTTTCTTAGATGATCAAGGCAGAAATTTCGGTCCTTTTAGCTCAAGAAAAACTGTGAGAGCAAGCCCCTTTTCCTAGCTTGAGGTGATCTCCAAGTGTTATCAAAGTGTATGTGAATTTTGAGGTGATTTGGTGAAGATTTGAAGCAAGGATTGATGAAGGAAAATGAAGAACTTTGGTTGTTTTTCTCCTTGGATGGCCGGCTGTCTTAGAGCAAGAGAGAGAGAGGTTTTGGCTGCAAATCAAGCTTCCAAGAGAAGCTAAAATGTATGGCTCTAAATTGGTTCAAAAGTCAACTCTCTCTTCCACGCGTACGCGCGCATTTCGTGCTCGATTCCTCTCGAGATTGTTTCACTTGTGCACTAAACCTCTAATGCACTTGTATTCCTACTATTATTATTCACTCTTAATGATCTAAAAATAAGGGTCTAAAGTCCCTCAATTAAATCGCGCGTGTAAAAACGCGTACTTCTAATTTGTGCCCGGTAGAGTGGAATTTTCACGAAATTCTTATAACGATGGTATCACTAACTAATAGTTGAGTACTTAAACATAAAAATACCTATTTTAAGACTAGTGTATAAGTCTCCAATTTTCAAGCTCATAGTTCTCTCAAATCGGTTATTGTCTCCAAACGCGTATTCGCTATTCTCACTTAACGAGATTCCAAAAATTAAATTTTGAAACAAGTCACTTTAAAAATACATGTGAGCTATTATTCTATGTAATTGAGTAATAAAAGGTCAAAATAAAATATTCTGAGTAAATGGCCAAATAAATAATTAAATAAGTTAGAAATAGGAAATTTAAATAAGTAAATTTTGCGAGTCCTCACAGAGGCACTACAAATGGACATGCTTATATTGAGCATGAATTTATGTTGTTACGTAGTTTTCCTCTTAGACATTTTATCAAACACACGGTGTGAGAAATCATTTGTTAAAGCAATTAGTATTCAAAATTTTTTGAAGGCCATAGGAATGTTCTAAAATTGCACAATAGAAAAGACAAGAGAATAATCTTCATTTACCTTAAAATTATCAATTCAAGGAGAATATTTTCATCTACAGATACAATATCAGAAATGATAATGAAGTTTTAGATGTTGTTAATATAAATATTGGCTTTTAACAATTACATTTGACAAGGAAAAATAACGAAAGGACACAAAATAATAAAGGAAAAAAAAGTGGGAATGTTCAAAGAGAGAATCAGGGAAGATATTAGTTGGGAAAGAGAGATAGAATGTGTCTCTATCTCTATCCTACCACATATGCAACCTATATGGAAAAAAAAGAATTATAAAGGTAATAAATTTTAAAATTAGGTTACATTGGGTATATGTAGAGGTGGCAATTTGTTTCAAGTCCCAATGGATTACCCATGCCCATGGGGACTTTGGGCGGGTTGGGTACTGGAATTTGATATTGGGTTTAAAATGAGACAAATCCCAATTATACCCATTAATTGATGAGAAATTTTGGAAAATATTTGGGTACCCATTGGGCTCAAATTAGATTAAAAAATTATCTTTAACAATTTTTATAGTCATACCAGCGAATATAATCTAGCAGTCTTCTTAGTCATTATCCACAAGAATTTCCAGCATTTCATTCAGTTTAGACCTGTCATCCTTGGACAATTATGAGGATAAATATTCAACACCCTAAGTGCCTTGGCCATCTTGATATTTGTTGGAATATGGCTGTATATCTATCTTTTTCTTTATTTGTTAATCCAAATTTTGGTGGGAATCCTGAGTACAAAGCACTTTCATGTTTATTTAATAAAACTAAAAGAAATTTAATTATTCAAAAATATTAAAGTTATATAAAAAATGAATTAAAGGAAAAAAAAATATGTAGAAAATAGATTTGGGTATTGGGCGGGATCAATCTAAACCCATTCCAAAATGATTCCGCCCAAGTTAGTCCCAAAACACATATGGGTAAGGTTGGCCCAAACCCATATGACTCGGTTCCGTTTCAAACCCAAGCAAATCCCACTCCTCCCGCCCATTTTGCTACCTCTAGGTATATGTTTCAAAAGAAGAGTTATTTTGGCAATAAACTCTGCGGGTGCCGGCTTAGAAACTAGTATGATGTCTTTATGATGCACAAAATTGAAAATTTCTTTTTCCAAATTGTTAAGAAAACGGTCCGGACTTTTTACATTCCAAATCAACCGCGAAGAAATTATTTGCCCTTCCTTCTCCCTATTTTCTCTTTATAGAAGTAAAGTTTAAAATACTAAAAAAAAAAAAAAAATTTCTCCTATGTTTGAATTAGTCTGAGAAGATAAACCATCTTTTTTTTTTTTTTTCTTTTCTGTTTCTTTCCCGCGTAGACCCCCCACCGGCCACCGCCACCGCCACCATACGCTCTTTATCGGCCTGCTCCGGCAGCCCATTGTGTATAGCCATATATAACTTCCTGATTTCTCAGCATCTACATACAGTTGGAAACCCCTAATTATTCCCATGTCGGCGGCGGAATCCCTGAGCATCGGGGACGAACAATATATTTCAATTCCCTGCGGGGGTCCTATCTATAGCCCCCATATGCTTGGGCGCCTCACTAGGGTTTCTGAGTTTGAGAGCTCTGTATTCGAACAACTTCAGGTATCCAAGGAAACAAAAATTTATTTATTTGTTTTTTTACTTTTTTACTAATTTCTACGGGTATTTTAATTTTTGAAGTATCTAAGAAAATTGTGGCTTGTTGAAGGTTTTATTGAGCTTTTTCTAATATGGAAATATTATTTGCTAGTAAGAATTGGGGAACAATTTTAACCATCTACAGAAGAAAGTTTTTTTTTTTTTTTAAGGTTGTTTTTGATTAAGTCTTTCACTATGATAATTGATTTTAACCATCTACGGAAGAAAGGCTTTTTTAAGGTTGATTTTGAGGAATTTTTTCACTGTGATAATTGATTTTATGGAATTTTTACTGTATGTATATATTTAATTGTGAATTTCAAGAGTAATTTTAATTTTTTTAATTATTTTTTAATAATGCTCTTTTTAGTGATCCTTTTTTTTTTATTTTAGGAATATAAATTCCTTGGAATATTTGCATAGTCAAACTTATAAGAATTTGTTTTTGATGCAGAATCTCAAGGCAGAGATTGGTTGGGACTCGCTCGAGATATCTGATGACGAATTTTGGTCAGTTTTGTTTTGCCTTTTCTTTTTTATTTTTCACAATGTATTCAGAATTAGTCGTGGTTTCTTTGCATTCTTTAATGATGATATCTGGTTTGGATGTTATATGAATTTTTCTTTCTCTTCTTTTAATGGCTTGGCAGTGTTAATGATCTTAAAATAATTAACGAGGAGGTCTTGGTAAATAGGGCTTTTGAAGAGGCATTTAAGGTAAGCTGTTTTGAATTGTAATTTCTCAGAATTACCAAGTTTCTTATTTTGTATTCTTTTCTTAACTTTTAGTGGATAATGACAGGATGGGCAGCTGATAGAAAATGTTTCACAAAAATCCCAGGAGCAATCATGTCAAAGGTTAGCAGACAATTCATTGCTTCTTGCTGTATTTGTTTCTTTTCTAACCTTATTTGATGTTTTATATCTCGAATGGTGAAATACCTGAGATTTTCTTCTTCACTTTTTTGTTGAGTGTTGAAGTGAAGTGAAATCGAAATTACTGATTAATGGAAATTTCAGAGATGTTACAGGTCTTTGGGTTTGTGGTGGGGGAAAAAAGTTGGGTTAGTTTTAGGTTTATCATAATATAAAGGACATAATAGGCTGTGATATGTGACTTTGGATATGTAAAAAGGCAGCCAGATGAGCTTGGAATTTTGGCTTCATAAAACATGATAATGGTGTGCTGTACATAAATGGTTTAAAAAAGAACAAAATCAGCAATATTCCTGGAAACATTTGGCTTCAGTTCTTGCCTATTAGAGATACTATAATGCATAGTGGATCCTCATGAAAGTTTTGGTTATGTAAAATGAATCTCATTACTTTTAGTTTAGCTTGGCATTCTTAACTGCAGGAATCTTCATAGTCACTGTTCACTGTTCCAAAGCTGTCCCTAAAATCATATGTTTTTGCTGCTAGTTGAATGAGAATTTTCTTTCAGCTGAACCACAGAGACTTATGAAAAGGTTAAGAAGCAAATAGAATTATATATAAAGTCATTCACTGCCTTCTGTTCAACTTTGTTTACATATCTGGATTGTGCAAACATTTTAACTCTCGAAACTCTTCTCAGACTACTACAAGAAATAGTGGAAGTTAAATTCTTTATCTTATGAGTGTTGTAATTATAGCAAATGGACAATAAACTTCTATAAAACACTTGCACATCACACATCTCATGCTTATCTTAATGATACCTTATGATTATTACAAAAGGGAAAAGGAAAATGGAAGGTGTCTTTTACTTAATTTTTAATTATAAAATTGAAGTTCCAGCACAAAGAGCAATACGTTTATGAAAAAGCAATAGACTGCAGTAGTATCACGTGATTCTTTTTCATGGTTGGCATCTTTGTTTTTGTGAATCTTTTCTGATTTCTTTATTTCTTACTCTATGAGAGCGACTTACTTCAATACCAAGCGTTGAGAGGTTTTCAACTTTCTCATCTCAGCTTTGTTTTTCTTTGTTTCGAAGTAAGGCTACTACTTGTGTTGATTATGACCTCTAGCATTTTTTTTTTCCAGATAGCATCTCTTTATGTATTTAGTCTCCTTAGACTTGTGTGGGCCTTTCTTCTCTACTTGATCAGGAGTTTAGATTCATTTGGTTTTGATGTCAAATCTGTAGGGAACCAGATAATGGCACTTCATCTGCTACTCTAACTTCTTGTATTACTAGGTTGGGAGGAAACGACACTTTAGTTTCTTGTGACTCCTCAACTGGTGGTCCTAGAAACTTTGAAAAGACAGTATCAAATGATAATGTTTCACAAAAGAGGAAGAGGAAGAGGCATGTGAATCGGGAAACTGTTGATCTTGAAGTATGCTTCTAGTTTCTTATTGTACTTTTTCCTTATAGGCATTCTTTTTCTGCTTCCAAATGAGAATTATGTTGTTCAACATTTGATAGAATTTGGCTGCTTAAAAAATACACGCCTCTCCTTTGTCTGTTCCTTATGGGCTACATTTGTAGATATACTTAGGATATATTCAACATTTTAGATTGTTTATTAATTTTTGGGGATCTGAATATGGACCATGTAATTAGCAAACCAAAATGTTGTGATTTTGCCTCGTTTGGGAAATATAATTTATGAAAGAAAATGCTAAACTGAAAAAATATTTGCAGTAGCAGGGATGCTATTTTACCAATTTTGTCCCTTGATTTTTGTGGAAAACTTTACCTCAACTTGATTTAAGGAGATTTTCTCCTGTATTATCAGGAAGGATATGTTGCAAAGGTGCAAGAACTTGCAAAAATCAAACAAAAACAAGATGAAGATAAAACAGCAGCGAGATTGCATTCATTCAAGTAGGCATTTTCTAACTTTGATATTTGGAAATGTGCATTCGTTCTTAGATCTGGTCATTCTTGTTAGGAAATTCAAGTATTTAGGATTTGCATCTTAGCTTTTGTGTTTATGCTTCAATGCAGTGGTAGTTGCAGGAATCAATCTCCTACTAGTTCCCAGATGAATAATGACAAGATGACATCACTCAAGTCAACAAGTTTTTCACCTAAGGTTTGCTTGATTAAATGCCTTGTTTTACTGATTGACATGTATCTGAAACTGAGTGCTGTCTATCCACGATTGAAACTTTATGCATTTGGTTTTTTCTCTTTCTTATTTTTCTATGAAGTTGACTATTCTTTTGAATAAAAATAATTTTCCACTTCAGGTTTTTAGCTTACTTATCCTGCAGATTGGAGCAAGTGAACATTAGCATTGTTAGATATGCGAGAAATATGTCCTGTTTCTATTACTCTACTGAGGCAAACTTTTTTAGATATGTTTTGCAAGTAAATTTTTGGAGTGTTGCTTAATTTGGTTGCAAAAGGAGTTTAATAGTTTAAAAGTATGACCATGTAGTACTCATTCAGAAGAACCTTCCGTCTTTTTATTTAGCAAGGATGGTGGTGTTTGAGTTGGACAGAAGCCATTGAAATAACGGGGAGTGATGAAGAGCACTTTTTAATGTTGAATGTAAAAAGCAATTATAGAAAATTAAATGAAGTATGCCTTGTTAAAAAAAAAAAAGCTTCAACACAGTAAGGTTTTTCCCTGTAAGAAGGTGCTGGAAGAAGAAGACAAATTATTTAGATCTGATAAATTGTTTTGTCTAAGACTATAACAGGAATAGTATGAAGAAGAATTGGTGAGAGAGGAAGCACCTAGCTTTGAAGGATTGTTGCTTCATGCTTATATTCAGTTTTGGCCTAATTGTGCTACCCAAATAATTTCTATATGGTACTAAATAGTTTTCATGAAAAAAATGGAAATGACAATATAAGCAATCAAAGGAAAACATGCTTAAGGTTATAATCAGATGTCTAGTTGTGGTACAGTGGATTTGTTTATATGTGAAAATGATATTAAGTATGCATATGCTTAGATTTGTGGATTTTACGTCATTTTGTTTCTTGTTAATGCTTTAACTTGCTCAAAGTGGATGATAGTTTGACTTACTCTGTAGGTGAAAGGCTGAAAACCATTTTAATGTTTAGGAGCATCTAAGCTAGTGCAACATGACTCCATTACACAAGTCTCATGAGAAGGTTAAAGTGATTTTTTGCTAGAACAGTATGAAGTCGTTGTCTGTGCTATATGTGGTTTGCACTCCCATATATACATGATGAAGAAGATAGCATTTATACTGTTTTATCATCATTATTTATCATCATTAACAGATGATTTCTTTTATAATTGGGATTTGGTGTACAAAATAATGTTCTTTAACCACTTAATAGCTTGCAATAAGAAAATATATTTCTAAGGTAATAATACCAAATATTAGGTTTGAGTTTTAAATAAAGGTCTATACAAGTAAAACAGTAATATCGCAAGTTGTTAATTTAAAAGATTATTTTGGAACATTATTGGATTACATGCATAAAGTGATCTGATCTATTTAATTTTGCAGTCAATGAAGATTGTGCATATACAAATGTAAATGGATGGTGAATTTTGTAAATTTCATAGTTGGGAAGTTGTAATAGGTATTGTAGGTTTAACATGCAGACACTGTGCATATTAATCCTATTGTTTATTGCTTTTTAAAATGTTACACGGTTCTGATAGTTTAAATTCCTATAAATTAATTGCAGGTGAGATTATCCAATGCTCCTGAGCAAGTTCCAGTTCATTTTCCTGAAGTTATTCTCTGCCTTGAGGTTTACCATCGCAGCAGAGCATGGTCTAAGGTGAAGTACTGCCGCATAGTATATCCAAAATGATGATGCTTTTATATTGACTCATTTAATCATAATGTCTTTAGCTGGATCAAATCATTCATCTCTGTTTGTTCGGTTTTTATTCCCTTTCACTAACAAATAAGTATACAATTGGTATATGAGATAGCAATCGGTTTATTTAAAAAACTTGTCCAACAGCTATCTATAGAGGTGGAGATGGATTCTACAAGCCCAAAAAAGAAAGTGAAAATGAACATTGCTGTATTGCATTCTCCACGAAGGGCTTTCAGTTCCCTCAAAGCTCTGTTTTTTCCTCTCTCTCCATAGTAGTTTCAACCACCAATTGACATACATCTGTTCTGGCATAACCTTGTGCATTTGAAAAGATTAAATGCAGCTTAAAACCCTTATAACCCATTGTAACTGAGCACTGGATGGTTGTTATCTTCTACTGTCTTGTTGCGCATTAAACACCAAGTTAGGCAAATTCTTTTGCTCATACCTCAGATATTCAGCAGTTAGAGTTAATTAATTGGTAGCCTTTCATGCAGAGAAAGCAACTTGTGCCATATTACCATTATGTTGATCATTGATTTCTGTCCTAAGGAAAAAGTTATAACATTATGTTGATCATTGATTTGTCCTAAGGAAAAAGTTGTACCATTATGTTTGTATTGTGATTTGTAGCTTTCCTTGAGTTTATGCTGTTTAATGGCCAGTAGCCTCCAATATCTTGAAAATTTTGGCTGTTTGTGATATAAACTGTAGCCTAGAGTTGATTTTTGTCATGAATAGAATTTTCACATGTGGTTTCAACTTTATTAAGGTGGTGCTATTCCGCTAGTACTTGTGCTGTTCAACAGATGAAACCTGAAGTAACATGTCCATTCTGATACTTGGTGAGGACTTGTAACTCCTATGTATGTGCATTCTGTAGTACAAATTTTAGGGTCTTCCTTTAGGTGTGTGTAACCAGCATTCTGCTGCTGGAAAGACTCATTAAATGATTGCATGGAAATCCTAATGTATTGGTGCAATTTGTTATTTAGTTAAGTGGTTTCAGGATTTTCATAATGCCTTGTGCTATCTTTAAGGGAGAGCTTCTAACTCTAGTGCCTCACATGTACAATTATCTTCTTAGTATGTAAAGTTTGGTCCTTAGAAATGCTGGGTTTCTCACCAATTGCTTCTTATTCATGTCTTGGTGAGACTACTCTTACAATAAAAACAAATTGAGGATAGCTGGACTAGACAATATGCGCACACAGCTTACAAGGACTATAGTGGTTGTAATATCTTGGATCCTTTTCTAGTTTATGAGATTTTTTGAGTTTGTATTTATTTTAATTTTCTCCTAGAGTTGATCATCTTGTAATTTGACACTTGATTGCTCTGGAGGGAAATAATGCCTTGTCCTCGAGCTGAATGTTTTGAACATCTCTTCTTGAGGCTCTGAATTTTTATGAATTATGTTATTTAGTCTTAACTTTATATCCTTGAAAACTAGCAGCCCCCTCATGGGAGCTCTGCCGTTTATTTTATTTTTTGTTTGTTTTTCTTTCTATCTTTAGTTTCCATTGTAAACTAAAAGTTGTGCTAGTTATGCCTAAGAAGTGCATTATTTTGCTTTCCATTGAGTAATTGACACACATTAACCTGGGAAATTGTCTCAAATCACCAAATGTAGTTTCTGGTTGCATGTGAAAATGGTCTGTCAAAAGACATTTAAATATATTTTGTTATACTTAATCACACTTTGTTATTAAATCAATGTACTTGTTTAGAATTGCACTTTACTCTCACTTTCGTGGAATGTGGTTTTTTGGGAACTTCACCTGGATTTGGGTTTGATCTTTTTTGGCCTTTTCTCTGTCTCTCTCTCTGTTTTTTTTTTTCTTTTTAGGAGGGGGTGGATACCAGAATCTGTTTGATTGATATTTGTCCCCAGTTTTACTTGCTGCTGAATTTAACTTATACTTTTGCAATAAATTCTGCAGACACAAGAATTTTTGGTTCTTGGGCGACAGTTTTTGACTGAAGTGAGGGACAAGATATATTGTTTAACTGATGAGATCATGAAAAAGGCTGGCCAGTATGATCCATCTGGATACTTCCTGGTAGAGGTAAGTGAGTGTAATGGCTTTCTTCATTGCTGAAACCTATGGCTGTTCTTCAATTTCTCACCCTAAGAGAGGTGTACTTTTAGTAGGATGTATTTTGCAATGATACGAGGGAACCTTCAGCAATAGATTACAGTAAGCCCATTTTTAAGTGGCTTGAACACTGTAGGAATGATGCACTTGAAAAATGGGAGTTCATTGTAGCTGGTGAACAACAGCAGCACCAGAAGCAAAAGGCATTTCTAGATAACAATGAAAAACTACAGTTACCACGATTCAAAGCTGTTCACATGCAAAAAACTCGCTTTTGTGACCTTGGATTTCGACTTGGCGCTGGATATCTCTATTGTCACCAGGTATACTTGTTTACAATCATTCTAGAAGTTATTCTTTTCTGTCCAGTTGTTACCTTATCAGAATTGTATGTTAAGGAAAGTTAGAAAACTGTTGGAACCCTTATTTTCTGCTGATTTTATGTTGCACTATTTCGTATTCATAATTTCATGCTGGTCAGAAAACTGGTCAGTATATCATGAACTTTGTTTTTTTTTTGAGCAAACATTTACTTTTCATTGATCAGAAAATCAGCTTATACAAAGAGTCAGCAGGCTAATTACATCGACAAAAACACTATTAAACTATAAACAAAATTCAACCAAGACACTGATGTGGTAATCCCAGTTCCATGATAACTCCTAGTTGGCTTTAGTCCTAGGAAATTTTCCCCCAGCCAGCAATCCCAGCCCTTCCTGGACCCAAAATGGCATATTATGAACATCATATCTTCCTTCCTCTGTTTTCTGCCAGTTCACCTACTTTTATGATTTCTTTTTGAACTGTCCCACGTGTTCAATTGTTTAGCTGTGTCATGGACTAATTTTGCTCATCTTATTGTGCTCAAGGGGGATTGCAAACACCTAATTGTCATTAGAGACATGAGGTTGATCCACCCAGAGGATGTACAGAGCAGAGCCTCGTATCCACTGATAACCTTTCAATCTAAATTGCGTTTTAGAAAATGCTCGATTTGCAAGATTTATAAGGCGACCAAGGTTACAGTCGATGACAAATGGGCTCTGGAGAACCCTTGCTATTTCTGTGATCTTTGCTATTACATGCTTCACTATGCAAATGGCTCTCTGCTGTATAGTGACTTCTCTGTATATGATTATCTTCATGAATAGTCAAACAGATGATAGAGTTTGTGTGTTCAAACCGTATGCAGTGCGGCAGTTGAACTTCAAGAGCTTTAATTATATCTGTTGTTTTTGCCTGCATATGAAATGCATAAAGATATGGTAATGATTTTTTCTATTTCCTTATTGAGTATATTTGTGCTGGCAATTTATTTTATAAGTTATTAAATTGCTTTTGCAAGAAAACTATTTTGTACCAACCGTAGCAGCTATTCTGTAATGATGTGTATGGGTTTCCTTTATTTGAGAATCAAATGTGAAAGAATTGAAAGGTCCAACCGAAACTTATCTGTGTAATTGATGATACATGCCTATTGCTCGGAGCACATTGAGCTTAAGAGACCATCTAGCGAAATGATTGAATAAGATTCTTTCATTTTCACTTCTGAGTACTTCAGATTGGCCTTCAGTAATAGTCTTTTGTAAATCATTGCCTGTCTATATACGTTACTTTCTTTTAGTTTAATGACCATGTACTGTAGTTAACGGCTATACGTATGACAACAAAGAGGGAGAAGTACAGTTCTGGCTCTCAAATTTCGGCCTGTGTGTCAAATTGATCCCTAATGCTTCATGAAAAACAAATCTAGCCTCCTATATTTTTTTATGTCAGGCAAATTTAGGATAACTAATGAAAAATTACAATAATTAAGGGTCAATTTAAATTGGCATTTGTCAAAAGTTTTGATAATGCATTTTTAGTTCCTAATTTTTGAAGTTTTGATCAAAGTTTCAAGTAGTTATAATTACAGGTTTTAAGATAAAATGTAATGTGAATTGAATTGAATATATGACAATTGAGCTCCTGAATCCTTATAAAATTCTATGAAAACACTTTTTGGCAAAACATCATTTTTTAGCCTAAATTGCATCTCTTTGTCAAATAAATTACAATTAGATGATAAGTTGAGACTAACCACGCTAAAAGAATAAGTATATGAGAAATTGGTGGCATGAATAAGTAAAATAACAAAACGAAGTTTAATAACAATTCCTATTACCAAATTAACACAATTTTAAGAGGTGTCCTAGCTCCATGAGTAAAGCTGCTTTACACAGAGGTCTACAGTTGTATAATGCTGGATCTAAGTGGTTGATCAAGAATGGAGAAGTTGTCAGATTTTCGTTGGAAAACTGGTTGGGGGTAGGTCCTATCTGAAGTTGAGTTCAGGGACCCTATTAGGTGTAGGGAAGAGGATATCATGTCTATGATCAAAGCTATTCCTAGACAGATGAGTAACCAAGACATGACTCTCTTATTCCGGGCACTTCTTGTGATGGTAAGTTTAATTCTAAAGGGGCCTACGATCTGGCAACTGACTGCAACTTTCTTTCCTCTCCTAATGATCCTAGCATTGCTTCGGTTTGGAAGATTAAAGCTGCCACCAAGATCAAACGTTTCTTCTAGTTGCGTAGCCAACAATAGAGACTAGCTTCTAGAGGCGTTGGGCAAAAGATCTATTGTTCAAACGGTTCTAGCGTTTTTGGTAGCGCTCCAGTTAAGAATGTAGAACATATTGTTAGAAGCTGTGCTATGCTAAAGCTATTAGCCTCTGGTCTTCTTTATCCTTTCCCATTACTGATTCTCGTGTCGCTCAGATGCTTTTTATCGACCGGTTTAAGTTTGGAGGTAAAAAATTTTCAGTTGCAAATTCTTCTAAATTGTCTTCGAGCACTTTCTTTGGTTATGTCTGCTGGGATCTTTGGATTGACAGGAATAAAAGCTTTTTTGAACCTTTTGAAAGTCCAAATTTATTTAAATCACTCAGCCAAAACTTGTTCAAATGCAGAATGCCACTTCTTAGTTTTTCTTCTGTCCACTAGCCTCAGGTACAGAAACTCACAAGTTTTTGTCTGTAACCCTCTGCCATCAGGGTGATGGTTGCTAGAAACTCCAGACTAAATTTTAGGGTTAATAACACTGCGCCCCCCACCCCTCCCGGGGTGCCCCTTCGCCCGGGGGCTGTGCTGCAGAATATCCTTTGCTTCCGTTGTAAGCTGTTTGCAGCAGCCAAACTTGGAATCAATTTCTCAAGGTCATGCTTTCGTTTGGACCTTAAACGCAGCTAGTTGAACCATTACAACCATGAAGCAAATTGTCCCGAGACATGATTTCAGTGGAGAATATGAGGAGCAGATGTTATTACGCAAAACACAAGGCAGAAATGACAGCTAAAGTGTCAACATGAGAAATTTCAAGCAACCAAAGATCAAGAAGTTCCTGCTCCTGATTTAGAAGTTTGGTAAATAATAAAACATTTTTATAGCTTTTGCTATGTATCCATGAAAGTCAGGAATTTACAGAGGGCAAGAAAGATCGCAGTCCATTCTGTTGTTCACTACAACATGTGTCATCAACAACCTTACAAGTCCACTCCTGGCCTAACTTAAAACAAAAAGTACAAAAAAGTGATATCATTTTTTAACTCCTATTTAGAAGTTGAGAAACTGCAGAAGCATCTTTTTATATCAACTATTAGAACTTGTACAATTGTTTAACTCCTATTAAGCACATAAAAAGCGATATCATTTGATTTAACAGGGATTTCCAATGTTCCAAAAGTTAAAAAAGTCATTATAACACCCAATGGATGTATGCACCGAAACCAAGCTCCAAGCATTTAGCTAATTCTTCAGACCGCTCATGTTAAATCTTTGCCGTTTCTCCTATTTGCTAAAGCATCCCTGGACATTGTCAAGTTAGTGAACCAAAACTGTTGTCTTTCTGACCCTATATTAACCCAGACATGTCAAAGGCTTGAACAATCCTGCTTTATGTAACTTTAGTGCAAGCTGACTTGCAATTCTCATGAGCCTGCAACTGGAACAGAAAAGAATAACTGCAGCGCCAGCCGGAGGCTTTTTAGGGTGAAATTGCCGAAGCAAGAGCTAATTTCTCATTTTCCAAACTGGAAACAGCTGCTAGTCCATCAAGCAACAGTATGGCAGTAAAAGAGAACAACACCCATATGAGTTTGTTACCCAGCTAGATGATCATAATGGCTCGTGCACCTTTTTTCTGTCTTCTTGACTAACTATATGTATAGCGAGTTATTGGCTTAACTGAACCGGCAGCATTGGCAATCCTCGATGCTCCTCCTTGCCTCTTGCTAAAAAGTCCAATGTTTTCGTTTTGATGTTATCATGACACTTAGAATGCCTATTTCTTTCTCAAAGTCAACTTTCTCATTTGTTATAGAATATTTAAGGCCCTACTAACTCTTTAGGATACTAATAATGGAGCACATACTTTGCACGCGAAGATCATACTTTGAAGGAATAATTGTAATTGAGACCAAAAAAAGTAATGTTTAATATTTATATTTTTTTTTTTCTGAACTTGATTTGTGCTAACTACCACAAATGCACAAGCAATAAAGCATCCTTTATCCCAAGAGTACTTTTATTTTGTAACAGTATCAATGTTTTTGTCTTTGTATTAAATTTGGATGATTTGAATGCCTATCTTTTATGTCATTTGAGTTAAAATTTTTAACTTTTTGAATAATTTGTTGTTTCTCTTTAAGTCATTCTATGAACTTTTTTATTGGTTTTAGTGAACTCTTCTTTCTTTTTTTTTTCTTTTTGCTAATGGTGAATCATAAAATGATCTATAGTGCTATTGTAATTATAATAGTATTTAAATATAATGATGTTCTAATTTAAATAGCTTAACTTGGATGAGAAATGTTTTGACTTAGTGAAACTTATTTGTATTTGTCATCAATGACATGTTTTATCATTATAGAGTTTATATGATTAAAAATTGTAAGCCGCTAAGATTATTTATTATATAATAGTCAAACTAAACTTTGATATATTTTTATTCACCTTTGAAGTACCCTTTGAAATAGGATGTTTTATTTTTTATATATATATGGTTTAATTCACCAAAACTCAAAGGGATGTTTCACTTTCGTAACTATTATTATAACTGTCATTTATGTATATAATATTCAATAATTGTAGATTAATGTTGTCAATTGTTATAAGAATACCACTAATAAAGTTCATTAAATTAAAATTTATTTTATTTTAAATAAAAAAATTCCAACATAAAATTCTTTGCCTACCCTTGTTTTCTATCTCCTATTATTTAATTTTTTGTACTATTATTCTTTGCCTACCCTTGTACTCAATACTAATATATGCATAGTAAAAAGATGCCCTTAAAACTCGTGATATTTTTTAAGAGATTCACAATACCAATTTATTATGTTTTATTTCATATTTAAAGACTAAAGTACCCTTTAAACTTGAATATTTTGTAAATAACATTTCTTCTTCTTTTTTTTTTTAAAATAAAATAACATTACGGAATCTTTCATTTTTGTAATGACTAGCATGTTCGATATTATTTAGCAATGAGATGCAATGCAATTTGTCCATGTACTAGAGAAGAGTGTAATTTTGGCATCACAAAAACTTTCACCATCTTTTTAATAATTTATAAATAAAATTTGTTCTCTTTTTTTAAAATGTAATTCACCAAAACTTGAGGGAATGTTTTTCATTCTTGTAACTGTTGGCATAATTGATATTAATTATTGATGAAATACAATGAATTGGTTTTTTTTTCTTGATTTAATTCACCACAACTCAGGGGAATGTTTCTTTGTAACTGTTACATAATTCTTATTAATTATTAAGGAAATGCAACGTAAATTGTCTATTTATTGGTGTTAAGGGCAATTTTGGTGTCACAAAAACTGAAATCAAGTTTTGCTAACACTCTCACAGACCAAGGGTCGTCATATATATATATATAGACTAGTTTTACAAAAAAAGAGGATGCCCAGATTTCTGTCTGAGTATGCTGCGAAGTGCCTGGATTTTTTCTTGAATTTGTTGCAAATTTCTTATATATTCGTGGGAATGCATTAGTACGAGAATTACTTGGGAAGTACTAAACAATAGTTAGGAACAACCTGGAGAAATATATCATACTCAGATTCACTGCAATGTATTATCCCTATTGCCGCCAATGCAAAGTAGTAGTGTCCCTGCATCTACAAATTGGTCTTCGCATAAATGACAGTTATAGGGAGCTACTATTTGCCATATATTAGTCTCGTGCAGAAAACTAAAGCAAAATTTCACATTATTTGTAATAGTTTGACCAATTCA